CACTTCAAAACACTACTCCAGAAAGAGTTTAGTTGCAAAGATTTAGGACGCCCGCACTGGCTACTAGGTGTGCGTGTAATTACCACTCTAGATTCTATCAGCCTCGTACAGGATCATTACGTCGCTGAAGCACTCGCGACATTTGATCTCAGTGACACCCAGCCAGCTATCCCTCCCGCCATCCATGCTCCTACCGCGAGTTGATTGGCACCCTTCAATACCTTTCGGTCCTCACTCGACCTGACATATCATATCCGTTGAACAACCTGGCTCGCTACATGGACAACCCGTCGCTTGAGCACTGGACAGCTGCCGTACACATCCTTCGCTATTCAAAAGGAACACCCGACCTCGGCTTAACCTACAAGTACAACCCCGGAGCTCCCGTTGTCGACGATTTCGTCAACGCCAACTACAACGCCTGCCCCGACACAGGACGCTCTACCAATGGTCACATCCTCCGTGTCAATGGCGTGCTCGTTGTCTGGAAGTCAAACGCCAGAAAACTGTTACCACTAGCACGGCCGAAGCAGAATATTACTTGGCATCTGAGGCAGCCAAACATGTTCAATGGTTACGAAATACATTAAGTGAGCTGGGCTTTCCGCAGAACACGCCGATCCCGTTAAACTGCGATAACCAGTCGGTCATCCACGAAATTAACGACAAGGGCACAAATAAACACCTCAAACATGTCGATATCCGTATCCACCACATTCGGGATCTTCAAGCCCTAGGTGTTATTTCTACTAGGTATATCAACACACATGACAATATAGCTGACATATTAACCAAAAACACAGCTCGGCCGGCACATTCTCGCCATACCAGCTCGATGCTCTCCGCCATTCCTAATCACCTCCTCATAGCATCAGGAAACAATCTAGGGAGACACAGGTCGCTACATGAGCTCACTGTAGATTGTATCTTACAATACATGATACATTACCGGTTTTAGGGGAGTGTTTGGACAAAATCAGCACTGTCATCATTCTGCTCAGATATAATTACAGTTAGGTACCCAGAGAAGGATGGTTAAATGACAGGTGTCACGAGGTGTCAAATAATGATTAATTGAAAGCTGTTACGAGCTGTCAAATATAAGAATTTACCACAACAAGTCATGATTTTATAACTTACGTGTGACTCCATATGCATAGGAGATGTATGTAAAGAACCCTCCGTGGAGGTGTAAATATAGTCACTCAGCACTCGATATAGTATGGTTTTATATATTAAAACTACAGTATCTATGCCCACCTGAAAACTGTATGCTGTGACGAGATTAGGAAGAACTCAACAAAACGCTGGTCCAACAAAAAGATCGCGGCAATGGCCCGGCGCCAATACTACTACCAACTGGTCATGGGAAACCCGCCAACCTCAAAACGGGACAAAGCCAGACACGATAGCTTCAACCGCTGCTTCGAGCCTACACCAATCCGGCTCTGTGCTATGATTGTAACGAATACATACATGTTCACACTGCTCACACGACTACCGCACCGACGACTGTCTCAGATCTGTCTGCCCCGGTGGCCACAAATTCACCACCAGCCACCTTACCTGCATCCATCAATTGACCCAACTGACCTCCTCCAGCAATTACAGGAGCGCCACGACTTCCACGGTATCTGGACCCTCCACGAACACCTTGTAATTTTTTCTCCAGCATGTAAAACAACCACCGTACCCTCACCCGTCTCTGACGTATCAACATATGTTTTCCATACCCCGGCTAATCACACTGTTGAAGTACTACTTCCAAATTTCGGTCCAAACCAAGTCATCGCGCTTGTTGGTTCCGCCTATGATACTTCCGATCCAGGCCAGCCAGCACATATCGAGTGCATCCTTGGTCTGGTGCGGCATTGGCTCACCCCCAACCTCGCTCCTCGACCGAATTATGACGGATTGTAATATTCGGTCTATTAAGGCGATACCAATGCCTTAGAATAAATAAACGCGTAGGTAAATTCTAAGTATCGTGTAAATATCAAAGTAAATAAACGAAATGAGACTTTTAGTAAAGTTAGGTATGCCCCGTGAAAACAGCAATACTCTGAGGGATTGTGAGGCTGAGACATTGCCTATATATAATCCTCTCAGTACTGTTTCCGCCGAAGGAATTTTATTTAGTGTTTCGTTGTCGCTCTATTAGAAACTAGGGTATGTTTCGTTGGGGCGAATCCGAGAGACTCATGAAATCCTATCTAGAAAAAAAGAAAAGAAAAAAGGAAAATACACCTGATGTCCATAGTTATTGCATTAACCAATAACTTGCCACTTATCAAGAATTACCGACTTAGCTTTCAACAATCTGACACATCTGGTTGGCTGAACGGAGGATAAACAAGGCAACGCTAATAGTACTTAGAAACCTATGTTCGGTTGAGCCATCTCGCTACCGAAGTATTCAGATATAAATAGAGTTGGAAAGTAAATATAGTACTATTAATAGAACTAGACCAAATCTTATATTTGGTATTTTACTGGGGCCTTTTAATGGCCTCGTCCAAATATCTGATATGTAAAATGGAAAAGGTATTAATTAATAAAACCATTAAAAACCATTTTAGGAAACTTATAAAGTTCCTCGTGCTATTAAGAGTACATTTAGGAAACTTAAGTTCCTCGTACTATTAAGAGTACGTTTATAATTTAAGTACTGCTTAAGAGTACGTTTATAACATAGAGTCTAATGTGGAGGCCCGGCTTATAACAGGATAACCTAGTCCTACTCGGTATATCGTGCTCTGCGCCAACACATTCCACGGCACTACACGGTACAGGCCCGATCCGTATCACATAGGTGGGTACGATACTCAGTAGGTCAGCAAGCGAATACATGGCACACTCGATGGTGTCAATTAGTTTGTCAGCACCGGCCTGAATTAACCCAGCGCATATCCTCCATCGTCGACTCACTTGGCCCAAGCTTCAAATGGGAATTTACTGACCACTTCTTCCCATCGATATTTCCCGAACTAATACAACGGCTATGGGAGCCATACCATATATACATACATTGTAACTTATCTTTTTTGAAACAAATAATATTATCCCTATCCACCTGGTCATGATTTTAAGTTAAATGTGGGCTATACGGCTTACGCCGGTCCGGACGCCTATGAAACTTTGACATCGACACAAAGCTAAACGCTGTTGGATTTATTCAGTCCGATGCGGATGAAATCCTTTGGATCCATCGTACCCGCGACTTGGTCGTTGTTATTTATATAAACGAGATTCACCCGGCAGTTGATGCATCCATCTCAGATGCCTCATGTCTCTTTTAAAATCGGTCTATACACTACGACATGACCAACCTTGGCCTTGTTAGACATGTGGTAGGGTTTTGTGTGATACAGGACGACTCTGGTACGTTCTCTCTCCTTTAAGATGCGTACATCCAACGCAGGTTAGACTCCTTCCATGTCCAAGATGTCCCACCCAAGACCACCCCTGGTTCTGGCACCCATCCAGGCGCACTGACAGGTGAAGCCTTCACGGGCAAATTCCGTAGCCTCCTTGGCGCTCTCGGCTTTACCACAAACATGACTAGGGTGGACATTGCTTGCACCCTTAACCAGCTCGCGGTCTTTTCCGCAAATCCTCTCACCCCCCACTATGACGCTCTTATTTGCATAATGCTTTACCTTGCTGGTACCATCAGCCTTGTATTAAGTTATCATCTCCGCACGTCCGGTCAAACCCTCGATACGGCCCTACTGTCTTACAGCGATTTAGATTGGGCCTCCTGCCCTCTCACTCGCAAATCGCATACAGGTACATTAATATGGTTTAATTCTATGCCAATCTACTGGCGCTCTCAGAAACAAAAGACTGTTTCCATAATCTCAGGCGAAGTAGAATATATCGCGGGTTCTAAAACAACGCGTTTTATAGATTGGATTCGTAACTTAATGGAGGTACTAGGCTGCAAGCTATCCCTCCTCACACGTCCGCACAAAGACAACCAAAGTGCTATAAAAACTGCTCTAGGCACAGGTCCCTCGAAAGAGCTTTAGTACATCGATATCGGCGCCATCACTACATTAGAGACTGCGTACGACAGGGCATGATTGAGCTAGACTTTATATCTAACCATGACAACCCTGCCGACATATAACCAATAGCCTAGCTTGTCCAAAACATCACTTTTCGCGATATGTTAATGTCCGACCAAAACAAACGAACTCAAACCTCGGATTCCGGGTGGGTTTCAGAACAAACCTTGTTTCCTTATATTGGGGTTTAGACCGTAGTTTGGGTTTTTTTTACGTTAGCACGAGAACCTAAATCGCTCCATATGCAACACAATATAGGTTCATTATAAATAACACAATATCGGTTCATTATAAATAGGTTTTCACTTTAAAATAAATAAACAGTTACTAAAAAACATCGGACTAAAAGATGTCCCTGTAACAGTTAAATGTTACAACTTTATTCGGACTTCATCACTATGATATGCAGATAAATATCTGAATTCTAATGATGTGTAAACGACTACATATGTATAAATTGACTAGTGTGTATATTTGCATGTATGTACTGAATTACATTCTGACTTTTTTTTAATTATAAAAATAAGATATGACTTGTCACTTTGTAGTGAGACAGGTTACGGGTTACGGCCGGTGGCCCGTGACCCACAGGCCACAAGGCCACAGCTGATGACAACTAGCGACCCTCTTGAGTCAAGTCTTGAGTCTTGGCGGACTTGGCCTCTTCTTTCTGGGCACTGGCCGCTGCCCAGCGCCAATTGGGCATTTGATATGGTGATAGAGTAATTTATAAACGATATTTATTGATTTCTATTGGGTTTAGAAAATCAGAATCTCACAAATCTGATGACATACTCTATACCCGCGTGCGCTTTTGTGATTTCGACTGTGGCACTGACACGTATTGTATGAAGTTGCCAACAGTGCCAAGTGCGACCATCTAACTTATAAATAAAATAGTTGATTTAAAAGAAGACACACACCAGCTCTGATGAGGTAAACATACAGTTCAACGACGTCAATTGTGCAGAAGTGCACTCAGTTCATCACGTCTGCATCTGTGTATAGCACTCAGCCACAATGTCCAACGCAAGTAATAGCAGTACACACAGTCTGCCCCACCATGCCATGCGCAAGCCAAGCTTTCCCCACGTACACCACGGGTACAATGCTATCGATGACGAGCAAGAAAGTTCTGTTCAAGGCGAAGCGGTATGGACCAAGGACACAGCGCATGCCACTACAGTGACAGGCACTGTGTTCAATATCATCACTTCGTTGGTCGGTGTAGGGATCGTGGGGCTACCTGTGGCCATGGCCCAGGCCGGATGGATTGGCGGCATGCTTATGCTGGTGATTGCCACGTGCTTGGCCATGTATTGCGGTACGTACAATCCGAAAAGTTTTCAATAGTTTCTGCCTACTCTCTATATAGATTTCTGTGTAGTCAAATCGCATACACGGCGCAACTTAGTTTCTTGATTTGGAGCATCTATTAGTTGTATTTGTGTATTTAGCAATCTCTCTACCCACCCACCCACACACCCACACACACACTCACGCACACACACACGCACACACACACATATACCCAGACACACACACACGTACACACACACACACACACAGGCACACATACACCATATAATATGATGCATATAATAATATGATATATATATATATACANATATATATATAGAATC